CTTCCTGAAACTGGCTAATGGGCAACCTTTACAAACATTCAAACTATTTCAGTCAATATGACAGGGGGGAAGGCAGATCCTGCCTGCAGAAGAAGGGGTTGGGTGTGGGTTTGGGGGGAGGTGAGGTTTGTGGGTGGGTGTGGGCCGCACACCAGTGGGCTGGGCCAGCTGGCTCCATCCCTTCATGTGGAGCTTCCGGCACTCCAGGGGGAAGCTACATGTGGAGACATGGAGCCTGCCCAGCCCAATGGCCTGTGGCCCCCACCCACCCAGAAATCACAAACACCCCATCCCCATGCCTACAGCACTGGAGTGCTCGAAGTCCCACATGGAGGCACAGAGCTGGCCCAGCCCAATGGCACGCGACTCCCACCTGCAGTGCCATGGACCTCATGCTGCCACAGAGCCAGCCTGGTTTGGCTTGAGGAATTCATTAAGGAGTCTATGTGCAATAGGACTGCAGAAGGCAGGATTCTGAACGACAGTCAGCATGACTTCGTCATGGGTAGGTCTTGTCTAACCAACTTCATCTCCTTTTATGATCAGGTGACTCGCCACCTGGGTAAGGGAGAAGTGGTGGATATTAGGCCTGTGCAAAGTGGCTAGTATTCACTTCGGATTCGGATTTGGCCAATTCGGGGGACAGTGATTCAATTCGGTGATTCAAATCACTGTCCCGAATTGATTTGGCCTAATCTGATTCGGAGATTCGGTCACTACCAAATAGGCCCCATCCGCCGCCCGCTTTCAGTGGCTGCCCCACCTGCTCTCCCAGCTCCCGGCTCTAACAACAAAAAAAAGCCCCCACTCACTAGCTGCTGCCAGGCGGGGGGGCAGGCAATCCCCACTGCCCCATGCCACATGGGGGGCTCTGCCATGAGCCTCTCGACCCCCACCCACTCTCCCAGCCGCCTCCATGGCTGCCCCGCCCACCCCAGCTCCCGGCCCTTCATCGGTGATTTGGAGGAGGGGGTGAAGAGTTCACTGGCCAAATTTGCAGATGACACCAAGTTATGGGGAAGCGTGGTCACGCTGAAAGATAGGATACAAATATAGGCAGATCTAGACAGGCTGGCAGGTTGGGTGAGTCAGAACCAGATGAAGTTCAACGTCAAGAAATGTAAAGTGCTTCACCTGGGGATGAACAATCCCCTACATACCTACAGGCTTGGCAATACCAACCTGACCAGAACTACGAATAAAAGAGACCGGGGGGTAATAATAGACCACAGCTTGAATATGAGCTGGTAATGCAACTCTGTTGCCAGCAGGGCAAATAATACTCTGGTATGCATCAATCGATGCATCTCCAGCAAGATCAAGGAGGTGATTCTTCTGCTGTACTTGGCACTGATGAGACCCCAATGGGACTACTGCATCCAGTTCTGGGCGCTGCACTTTAACGTGGTACAACTTGAGAGAGTCCAGAGAAGGGCCACCCGTATGCTTAGAGCCTTGCACGGCAAGCCATACAAGGAAAGGCTGACAGACGTGGGACTCTTCAGCCTGAAAAAGAGATCAAGGAGGTGATTCTTCTGCTGTACTTGGCACTGATGAGACCCCAATGGGACTACTGCATCCAGTTCTGGGCGCTGCACTTTAACGTGGTACAACTTGAGAGAGTCCAGAGAAGGGCCACCCGTATGCTTAGAGCCTTGCACGGCAAGCCATACAAGGAAAGGCTGACAGACGTGGGACTCTTCAGCCTGAAAAAGAGGAGGCTGAGAGGGGACTTGGTAGCAATTTACTGCTACGTCAGGGGAGTACATCAGGGGTCCAGTGAACAACTGTTCACCAGGGTGCCCTTGGGGAGAACCAGGAGTAATGGCCACAAACTCCTGGAAGACTGTTTCAGACTCAACATTAGGAAAGACTTCTGCACAGTTGGAGTGTCTAGACTGTGGAATAAGCTCCCTCCAGAGGTGGTGCAATTGCCTTCAAGAGGAGACTAGACAGTCATCTTACTGGGGTCATCTGAGCCCACCTGTCTTTCCTGTCTGGTACAAGGGGCTGGACCCAATGACCTTCCAAGGTCCCTTCCAGCCTTGCAATCTATGAATCTATGAAGGCGTGCGCCAGCAGGCTGGACCAGGCTGGTTCCATACCACCATGTGCAGCCCCTAGGATTTGGCCAGAGTTGCATGCTTCTGGGGGCTCTGCCTGCTGTAAGGTGAGCCCCAAGGGCCCGCCGCCTGCTGCTGGTGAGCCACCAGTGGCAGGGGCTATGCACCATGGGAGGGGGATGACGTGGTGGGGGCCCACACCCATCCACAAACCCCACACACTCCCCCTACAAACCACATATACTGTCATACCCACCCCCCAGCTATACGAAGTATCTGCATATATTTCTGAAGAAAGGTCGAATAGTGTTATAGTTAGTTTAATTTTTAAAAAATAAAAGTAACTAATTTGGCAGGTTTTTTAAAAATTTTCTGTGCATAATTTTGAATTTTTCTGAGCATATTTCCCTTGGGTGTACTTTGTGGATTTTGGCTAAGCGTCCCATCAGTCCAGACTGGTGGATAAATACATACTGTATATATTTAGCTTGAAAATAACCTAAAAAGCATTTTGTCTTATCCTTAAAAATCAGTACCATTTGGGCAGAAACTTCAACATTGTAATTGGTGTAATGTAATGGGTGAGACGATACATTTTATTTCTTCACTATAATTTGACTTTAAGGGGGTAAGAGGATAGCAAAAGCTGCCAATGGTTATAAGTTTGAATTTGTGCATTTCTAAGTTGCTTTAGGAAAGAGACTACTTTTTAAAGTGTTAATAGTGTTACTTGAAAAGCATTTATATACTGTCACATTACATTTTGAAATGGTTAAAAAACACCATGATGTTTTAAAGAAAAGTCAGTTACATGAAAGGTCAGACCACATACTCATTGATTCAAAAGGCCAGAATCATGATAAATGTCAACAATATTTCCAGTCAACTCTATTATTATGGAGGATTGCCAGCTCTGTGATAATTAAGGTTGCGGTTTCATTTTAGAGTCAGCATTGCCCTTTTTATGTAACACAATTTGAATGAGATCGAAGTATTTTGTTAATCTTAATGGTGTTTGTAACTATTTTGCTAGTGAGAAATACAGAATTCTGAACTTTGCTGGACTGGAAAACTGTCTGTCCTATTTTACTGCTCAAGGACACTTTTACTTTCAAGTGATGTACTCTGTGTTTAATAGTACCTCCTTAATCTAAGTAGGTACTCTAACTGTTGATTTTTCACATACTTCAGCCTCAGACCTTAGTCCATCTAAAGAGAGGGCATGCTCTTACTGTCAGCACTCTTCCCTACCCTACAATTACAGTCTTGTTGGTGTACAAATTACAACACAATTGTGCTCCAGCCTTTCAGTAACATAGTTTGGCTGTGTCTGTGTCAACAGGACTGGAGTACATTAGAATTACATTAAAGAAATTATTCTGTATGCTTATGATAAAGCTTGGTCCCATTTAAGCAGGCCAACTCTGCAGCATGGTTCTTTTGTAACTTAACACCACCCACACAATACTTTCACTGTAGAATAAATTTGTGGGGCAGGTATACATCACACAGCCTTGCTCCAGTGTATGCTGTTGGGGTAAAGCTACCCCTTAAAATGTGAGGAGGAACTATCTTCTAGTCTTAAGTTATACCAGTGAAACAGTCATATGTCCCTTCCCTTGACCATTTTCATCTTTTGCTCAGTGCAGTCTGGCTCTTCCACCACCTAGTGGCCAGTCACTGACATCTGTCATGGCAAGATCTCCCATGCCATGGTTCTTGACAACTTTTCCTATGCCCCTGCCAGACATACAGGTAAAGGCACAATGAGATCTGATGCCCGACCCACACAATCTTGCTTCCTGCCATGCCATGTATGCATGAATAGCACAGCTGCTCAGCACAGCTCACAAAGACATTCTCATGGACCCAGAGGGACAGCCTTCCATCTTCAGCTCCTTCTGTGCAAAAATGAAGTTTATTTCCTATCTATGGGGAGTTTTTACCATCTTGTACCATCTATACTTTTCCTAGAGCCTGATAAAGGGACTTTGATCCCGAAAGCTTGCAGAAAAGGACAATTTTCTTGCAATTTCCCAGTTGGTCTAATAAAAGGTATAATTTTGGGACCAAAAGTTCTAGTTTTTTTGTCTATCTCCTTTTGTCTGGCTTTCCAGCCCCATCTGCATGCTTGTATAGCAACCCTTACATCATCTCACCACTGAATGTGGTCTCATGGCTGCTAGCACCACCACCATTTCTCTAATGTCAACATTATCAGCAGAGCTTTTTTTGGTTATCATAATCATTCAATGGAAGATATGGATGAAGTGGTACCGATTTCTGTGCCTTAGGTTTTGGAGGGTGTACCTGCACTTAATTTCAAAGAAAGAGATTTGGTTTTTTTTCTATTCAGAAACCTACTATGATAGTAAAGTGGGCTTTCTATGCATCCTGGTGGATCCTGAGAAGAAAAGGAGTATTTGGTCCACTGCTGAATGTCCTTTACAGCATTGATGTCAAGCAGGAATCTGCTACTTCTGATTTGTTTACTCTGCCAGCATATACGGAAGTGTCTTCTGTTACTGTTTGTAAAGCACTTGAAGTTCTATGAGTAGAGGTGTTGTTAGACTACAAAGTGTTTTTATCACTCATATTGCAGTGTTTCTTTTTAAAGTAATTCTAAAATATTGTATTAGCACTGGATCTTTTCTCAAAGCTATCTTTTCCCTGATCTCTATGCTGTAAATTAACTTACATTTTCTGCAGTTCCTACCAGAGCAGAAAACATACTCTGATATTAGTTGGAGACCCATGCATTCTTACTGTAAAGATATGCTGGAAGGAAATATTTGCCCATGGTCTCTTATATTGCTAATACATTCATATTATATGCATTTAACATATACTTTCCCTTTGAAATACTAAAGAAACTATTCTATAGTTCTTCTAGCCATGAAACTTTTTTTTTGACCTTTTTTGCTCTTCTTTTTATAGGTTCTTGCATCATGCCGGGCCTTTCTTCTAACATCCCGTATTCCCACCAAGGTAAGCTTATTTTATTTCAGTACCCAATTTGTATTCATGTGTGAACTTCAGTGGTATAAACTTACTATCAATATTACCGGTACTTTTGTCCCAGGGAAAAAAAAAGAGGATTGTAAGTATACATCGGAGGAAAGTTGTTTTAATGCTATTTCCAGTAATGATTTTCTTAAATAATTTCTTCAGCACGTAGATGAACCATTCCAAAAATACCTAGATGTCTAAAAGTGGAGTGAAGAATTGCATTAGAAATAACTACCCATGGAGCTAGAGCATACAGATAATAAGTCTCATAATGGGATCTAGACTAATTTTTTCCCAAACAAATTTATGTTATTGCTTTGTTGTAGTATCTCTAGTCTCAAGAGGGATTATGTTCCAGATTCCTAAAATAGGAATTTTACAGAGTTTATTAAATCTCACTGCTTTTGGTGGAATAATATCGGCTGTTTTCCATGGTGACCATAGTTTGTTGTAAGAAGCATCTTGCCAACCTGTCTTACAAATGCTGTGGAATACTTAGTTTATTCCCATGACAATCTGGGATGATTGTCATGGCAGAGGGTGATTTTGAATCTGGAAATAATCTCTCATCCCACGTGGAGTTAGTTAACATGATCTTGGCAGATGTCCATGTTATGTCCATGTTCTGCTTTGTTGCACAGATATATGTGGGAAGATTCTCAAATGAGAATAACTGATGCTTGTAAATGTTCCTTTTTGTCTTGTGTGGTTTGAAGACCCTTACTGATGGGTGAAACTTTCCTTTTGATTTTCTTAGTACTGTAAATGAAATTTGCAGAAAAAAATATTAACTGAACTACCCATGGTATTAAGTTAACACTACAAACTTTTCTAAAAAGTGGCTTCTTAATGGTTTAATTTCATAGTACTTTGTGAGATAAACCAGCCAAGCATCTGTCCAGCCTGCCTTAAAATTTTCCAAGGAAGGAGATTCCACAGTTTCAAAAGAAACTTCCTATATATAAGTTTCTTTCAGAAGTAGGATATTTTTTATTTGAGTAATCACTGGGTTTATCAAAAACACTTTTTCTTACCAGCAGAAGTGTGAAACCTGAAACCATTTCATGAAACCTGGAGTGTTTTAAAAACTGTTCAAGATCTTGCCACTTATGATGAGCTCAGTATCTGACACTAATGACAGAGATGCATACATGTTGCTGTTATATATAAAATAAAACAAACTGTGGAGTAGAGGTTGAGGTCATTGATTTCTATTTTGATTTTTATTAAAAAGTGTGTTGCCACACTCGTACATGCAGCTGACTGTATTTTTCCTTTGAAAGTGATGCAGTGAACTTTATTTTTATTTACTATTTGAAGAAGTCTCTCCCTTATACCTTCTGTAAGAGGAATTTAGAGGTTATTTATGCTTCTTGGTTTCTTCAGAAAACTTTTGTGGAATATCTGTCCAGAAATATTTTATAGTTTTGAATTTACAGTATTAATTTCACCTGCAAATTGCAGGCATTAACTTCTCTTAAACAATTCACAAGTTTGCCTTTAAAATTTATGCCACAAACTAAAACTGTCATAAAAAGGAATTAAGGTAGGTAGTGTGCAATACCCATCTAACATAAATCCTTAAAATTCAGAAATGACAGATTAATACATGCCTCGTAACAGTACGCTAAATTCCACTGGGCACATTTCTACCAACAATGACAATTTTAACCTTCACTGAATCTCTTCTCCCTGTAATAGACAATAAAACAATACATACAACCTGTTGGTCCCTGTTGCAGTGTCAGACAAAATCTCAATTACAAATTCAATGTTAATAAATATGAGATGTTGACATACATGCACAGGTTTAAGTGTATGGTATATGGCACATGTGTGGGAATGCAGCACAAGTTTTTGAACATGTATTTTCTACTAGTTTTCAGTAAGTGGTACCTATGTGGGAATTTTGAACAATAATAAACCCAGTAAATGTTATCTGCATGCCTTAGAGGTAATATTAAAAAAATGAGAAAGTTTTGAAATTTCTTAAACGACCATTTAAAAATTAATTTTAACTTAATTAACTAGCATTAATTTTCTTAAGCCGTAAGAAAATTCAGTTCACAGATTGTCCTTCCATAGCGCCTGATAAAGTAAGTTGTTGCTTTTAAAGGTATGCATCTCTGAATTAGTTAGTCTCACTCTGTCTTCCTGACTTCAGACTAACATGGCTAACTTCCTGTCAGACTGTGCTGTAGATGTGGAAAAGATGTCTATTCTCCATATAAAACAAAAGCCCCAAGTCCCTTCTTTAAGTGAAGAAATGAACTTAACCTTAATTCTAGAAGAACTCTTGAACTTCTGTTGCATGTTGACAATCATAAAGGGTTTCTACGGGATTAACTCTTGAGTTTGTTGTATGTTCATAGCTCTTTCTTTGGAATAGGTGTTTGAAGTTTAGTATGAATATACCGGTTATATGTGGGACCCTGAAAACCTGTAAACTAGGGAAGATTTAGATCATGGAAGGTAACTCCTAGGTATTTATTATGATCTTTTAGTCAATTGGGGTTCAGATGTGTTCATCATTATGTAGGGCCTGGATAACTCAGGGTAGCAATTTAGCAAAGGGAAATGGAGTCTCTCACTTCTGAACATATGGTTTGAATTAACCTTAGGTCACTAGTGATCAAAAGCTGCCATCTGATGGCTGGCTGATTTAAATGCAGTGTAGAGGACAAATTTGAAGGTCGATGTCTGCTGCACAAAAACTGGCATTAATTGACAAACTCAGTTGAGGTGCCAGTATTTGAAAAGGCATGAATTAATTACTCATGAGATGGTCTCACCATACAAGAACAAAGTACACTGATGTTGGCAACAGGAGGCAGCCTCCATTGCTTGTGTCTGTTTTATATCTAGTGTGTGGCTTAACAAGTCCTTGATTTCTGTCAGTTATTGTTGGACTTCTTTCATAGTCAGTAAATTAACTTCATTAAGAAAAAAGGCAGTTTCTGTATAGCCCCAGCCATAAATATTTTAATTGTAATTTCCCAAGCTGCTTCATTCTGAGATGCTGTTGTTCATGATGTTTCCTAGGATGAATCATATACATTTGTCTTTCTCTACATCTAAATTATTGAAAAGGAATCGCACCCCTTCAGGAAAAAGAAAATGCATAATCATCACTAAACTAGTTAAAAACATTTCCATGTTAGTCATTTGTTATTAAGGACAGAAATGGTGGGTTTAATGAGAAACTGGATTTGAACCCTGAACTGCTAAGTAACTTTTAAGAACAGAATGGCTTTAAAATCGTTATATTCCTCTAACTCTCAGACAAAAAGACTTAATGTGATATTCTCTAAGAAGAGTCAAGCTACGGAGCAGGTGCCTAAAACCATACTGTAATCCTACTCTAGTTGACATTTGCTTTGAATAAATGGTCACATTTATGAAGTCTATATTTATGGTATATACACTTTAATGCTTTATCAATAATGTTTTAATAAATGGTTAATTAATTATACAGTACAGCATGTCAATAGGTAGCTTATAAACATCTATAGCACTTTCTACTAATGTGCTTATAAACACCAATAAAATATACTAATCAGTCATGTAAAATGTTTAAAGCCTCTATTCATAGATTCTAACCCACAATATAAAGTGCAACCAAATATGCTAAATATTTACTAGGAGACAAAGGTATTACAGGTAGAGAACAAAATAACTTCTAACCTCATTTAAGTAATTAAGATTAATTTCTGTTGTTTACCTTGGGATATGGTATTTCACATATTTCAGTAATGCTTAAAAAGTAAGGTATTTATACTAACTCCGCTTCTTTTTGTGTTACAGCTAGAACTAACTTTCAGCTATTTAGAAATCCAAGGAATAACTTCCAGTAAACCAGGACAGGTGAGTGCTTTCAATTCAAAAGCATTTTCTGTTTTAAGAACATAGTTAGTTTTAACCTCCATTCTAATCAAGCAGGTAATTTAGTAAATCGAAGCTCTTATCTAGCAAGCAGAGTGCATATTTGAATTTTTATGTTCACAAAGCTTGCAAGCCTAACAATAATAATAATTTAAAAAGTCAAGTTAAGGAATGAAATGTGTGGGTGGGATGAAGAGGAAAAAATACAGTCCTTTTTCATAAGTCAGTTGGAACAGAACTAATTGGATGTAAGTTTGCATTTGTAATGTAAATGTGATATTTTCCTCCAAGATAATGAAGAACAATGATTATTGTTGTACAATCCACACCCAGCAAGTTTTATTGCTTTTTTATGGAGAATACTGGCAAATGCTGCCTCTAAAATTGCATACAGAATTTGTTTATTTTCAGTTATAATGGTTCCACTGTTTTATGAAAAGTTGAATCTTCTTTGGATTGCAACAAATATATTTAAATATAAGCTATAGTTATATGAGCAAAAAAAAGGGAGTGACACATGCACACACACACACGTGTGTGTGTGTGTGTGTGTGTGTGTGTGTACATGTAACAATCTTAAAAAGATAAATATTTTGTAAGTAGATCTAACCACCCGATTGTATCACTGCGTATAAGTTTCATTAAGATATCTCTGTGTGTTTGGTTTTTGAAGAAATTGTTAGAACTTGGTGCTTTTGACTTCTTATTCCAACACAATAGAACTTTTTTGTTATATTCAGCATTTCATGTTTTAAGCCTGATCTTTTAAAATTCCTTTTACAAGCTTTTTCCTTAAATAACTGCATTTGTTTTTGGGTAGCTTTTAGTAAATGGTGTTTGTTTATATATGTCTTGCTTACTTTCTTTTTTTGGCTCAAATGCAATCCCAGTATTCTTGAAAAGTCAGCATTATATTTATAATAGGTAGAGATGATAGTGGGATAGAGGAGGATATGACAGACTGTTTTCAGGCTACTGGGGGCTCAGCAGCATTCCAGTGGCAGGGGATTTTGCCTGGACCTGCGCTGTGCTGCAACCAGGGGGTGGGGGAGATGTGGAAGTCAGGCCTTAGTACCGGCCTGTCCAAATTTGGGCAATTCCACTCTACTGCTGGAATAAAGTTTTGCACCTTGGCTTTTATACAGTGTGTGCATGTGAAGGGCCCCCCTCTAGTGGCAGAGCGAAGGGACAGAAATTGCCTTTTATCCAAGATATTGTGCTACCTAAAACATTTGATAGGCTTATGCAATGCTTACATATAATTACATTTAAGATGTGTAGTTGAAGACTGGCTGGCTCTATGGCAGTCTCCTGGGGGGTAGTCAGGGGGCGGAAAAAAACAGCTTTGCTTACTGTCTCCCTAAAAATAGTTTGTGGTGGGAAATAAGTTATTGTTGATATTATTACAATAGTTCCTCATTCGCTCAGACCTCATTGTGTTATGTTCAGTATCAACATCAAACAAAATGCCACAAAAAGCATTTAATATACCTTTAATACAAGAAAGATGAATAAAAACATAAAGGGAAGCACAAGAAAACAATGAGTGGTAATGAAGATGGAGAAACATTGTTTTCTCTTGCCACCGAGGAAGAGGACACATAGCAATGGGTTTAGACTGCAGCAAAGCAGATTTTTATCAGATCTCATGAAAAACTTTCCAAGTGCTAGAACAGTAGGACAGTTGAACAAGCTACCTAAGGAAGTTGTGGCATTCCCCACATCGGAGGTTTTCAAGAAGAGAGTGTACTGACTTCTGTCTGGTAGGGTTTAGGAAAAGCAGCACATCTTGCATCTGTGGGGGAGGGCTGGATTAGATGACCCTTGAGGCTCCTCTGAGCCCTTTGATTCTGTGAAAATATTGGTCAGCCTGATGACATTGAATAATTATTCAGCCATAGAGAATGATTGCCTAAAATCCCCAGAAGGAGTTGAAGATTACCAGTAGAAAAGGTGTGTAAAGACCCACAGTGTATGTTAAATCAGGGGTTTTCAACCTTTTTTGGTCAGTATACCCACAGCAGCTGATTGATGGATTGAGGGGGATGGGGGGAAGGGATGGCAGCAAAATCAGAAGTGCCAGTGGTGCACGGCAGCAAAACCGTAAGTGCTGGCGGTGCATGGCACCAGCGAAAACAAAAGCACTGGCGCAAGCAGCACGAAGTGCTTGCAGCCCCACTTCTCCACGCTGCTGCTGCTGCACACCTCCTGGAGCCTTCCCAAGTACCCCCAGGGATGCGCATACCCCTGGTTGACAGCCCCTGTGTTAGATTATTATAGCATCTTCTAGGTTTGCTTTGTGTACAAGGAAATATTGGGCATTTTAAATGGCTGGGAAAAGACTGGGAAAGAATTCCTGTCAGTACTACAGTCAATTTATTTAATTCAGAACAATCAAAGTGTAAGACAATTTGATAGCAATACAATCTTTTTGTTGTTAAGATCCATACACCTCAAACAGCTTTGCAGTTGCTCAGTTAAACAAGTTACTTCATTAATTGAACTGAGAAAATAGTCTATTATGCCTGCCAAAGAAATTTTCTCACTCTCGGTATACTGTCTTAACATTACATGTAAGTGTTGCTGATCAGAATACTTGATTGTCTCCAGAGAATCACGATTGTAAATGACTTACCTTTTGTTTATGCTTAAGGAGGTGTGTTCTGCTTATTGAATATTTTTAGTGTCGCTGTACTGGGCTTGCAGTTCTGAAACACGTTTCAAAATCAGAGAAGGCTACTGCTATGGGTTTTTAGTTAGGGTTCAGAAGTCTCAACCAATTTTAAGTTCGTTTGAAAACGTCAAGACATTTGGCTTAAAGAAAATGAAAAGAGAAGTTCTGGTAGCCATAAGTTCTGGCTCCTACAACAGCTCCTACTGCCAAACCACCAAAGTATATGCATGCCCAGGTGCATATGCATGCCCAGTAGCGGTGTGCGAAATGGGCCATATTCAGTTTGGATTCAGATTCGGCCCAAATTGGGGACAGTGATTCAATTTGTTGATTCGGATCACTGTCCTCGGTTCGATTCAGCTAAATCCAAATCTGAAGGTACAGTGCTGATTCAGAAAAGCAGCAATTCAGCCATAGACACAGCTTTAAATGTTTTTTCTACATACCTCAAGGTACCAGGCATGGGCTGTGATGGTGGGGCGAATGGAGCGTTCCACAGGAGCACAGAGGGGTCCTCCCCCCATGTGCTCGGTAGTGAACCTGGAAGTGGACTGGAAGTACTTCCAGTCCACTTCTGGGTCTGCCTCTGAGCATGCTGGGGGGGCCCCCCCAGCACTTCCTTGGCTCAGTGATTAGCCATGGGAGGACCCCAGGTGTCTTCTCCAGACCCAGGAGGCACCAGTTGCTGAGCCGGGGAGATGCGGGGGGGGCTGCACACTCCCCAACAGACCTGGAATTAGACCGGACATGCTTCTGGTCCACTTCCGCGTCTGCTGCCAAGTGCACTGGGGACCCCCCCGCACTCCTATGGGTTGTTCCATCCGCCCCAGCATCTCAGCATTCATGAGCTGCCTGGTACCTTGAGGTATGTAGAAAAAACATTTAAAGCTGTGTCTATGTCTGAATTGCCAAATCTTTCCAAATTTCTCTGAGTCTATTCAGAGGGTTCCAATTCGATTCAGAGAGATTAAAGGGTCTCCTGATTCGATTCAGCCACTGAATCGGCCGAAATCTCCACCAAATCGAATCAGGGACCGAAGCTTCACACACCCCTAATGCCCAGCTCTGTGTGGCTTCTTTCAGCAACTATGGCAACAGAGCATGAAATGTAGCCTGGGAAGACATCAGCTGCTGAAGGGACTATGGCAGCCAGTAGAAGGCGTGATAGTATTTACATGTGCCTTCTGCCAGCTGCTAGGTGGTAGCAGAAGCCTTACTCCACATGGCAGAAGCAGAATAACTCTACTGCGAGAGAGAAGGGTTCTGCCACCTTAGAGAAACTTTGGGTATGACGCCCTCAAAGATTTGCTGAAAAACTGAAGTCAACTAGGCCTAAATTCCCTTGCCATTTTTCCTGACATTTCTTACTCGGAACATTTGTCTGATCTCAGTCAGAATGTACATATGCTTATTTATGTATGAACATTAATTATAGTGAACCTTCAGAATTTTTTTAATGGAAATGAGTTATACAGTGTGTTTGTGTGTGTGTTTTCCTGGCCTGTATTTTATGCAGTTAATTGTAGAAATGGAGAAATGCAACATTTCCATGAAGATGGCATCATCAGAAGATGTGAATGAAGTGTTGGCTCACATTGGAACATGTCTCAGGAAGATATTCCCTGGTCTGTCACCAGTGTAGGTACTCATGTTTTCGGCACCTGTCATGCATGCAAATTACCAAAATGTGCAGGGATACCTGGCTACTGTCCCCTCTTCTCCTGTTCCCACCTTTCATCAGGAGTGTGTCTTAAGATTTAGGAAGTGTTTTGACGCAGACCCTGACCGTAAATTCTGCGCATTCCTATTAGTATGGGAAAAATCCTTAAGTAATTTGGAGCCTACAGAGAAGCAGGCATGGCTGAAGCACATGGCACTTTGGAGATTTCCATGGGCTAAAAAACTGATCACAAGCCTACAGGTTGTCCTAAATGAAGCTAGGTGCTTGGGGGGAGGGGAGTGGAAGAAGGATTTACAGGAGTATAACAGCTTGTTCTTGCTCCTTTACCTCCAAGAACTGACATACCTAAGTGTAGCCCATTGTTTTCCATTACTTGCTTTCTCTAATGATTGTCCCTGAACAACTGTGATATTGTCTGGTTTCTTCCAGGTCACTATTTACGGGGAGGGTGGGCAGAATGGCAGTGTCAAGTAGCCAAATTGGAGGAACAGGTGTGGGAAACAGGTCTGTGTGTTTCAGACTTCATTGTTTGGAGTCTGAGGCCTGGATCTTTCATCATATACCTTCAGCAAATTGACTGGACAGAAAACTTTCCCATTTGACCACTTAAATTTTGCCTTTGTTCTGTTGTCCATCTTTCCTGATTCGCTCTACCTTTTTCTGTTTCCTTTCTCTTATCTATATCATCTTCTTCCTTTGTACTCATTGTTAGTTCTTGTTTCCTTTGCTTTATTTTCAGTTTGTTCTTTGTCTTTCTCTGTGCCACATTTTAACTTGCATCCCTTAGATCTCATGTCTCTACCATTCTACTCTAGTTTTCTGGGGGTTTAAAAATATTAATTAGATAAAATAGAATTTTCTCTTTGACAAATAGACATTTGCAGTAAAAGTTTTAAAACTGACATTGCAGAAAAATGTAGTTGACATGGCTGAAGTCACTTATTTTTTTTCTCTTGGGTTCACAGCCTTTTATTACTCAACTTTCCTGCAGACTGAGTAGAAAATAAAGTCCATAAACTTGGGGAAAAATAACCTACCAGTTCATCTCTAAGGCATATCTACTGTTTACCCTGACAGAGATGAAAATCTTCCTTCAGGCTCATTTGAAAACAAATGCAGAGGGAATAAAGCATAGTCAAAGAGTCTCAGTGATATTGTGACCAAAAAGAGAAAAGCATGGAAGGAGGGAGGACTGCAGAAGCTTGTGTATATTTAGATCATTGTTTTCTTTGATTTGTTCTACACTTTTTTTATTTTTGGCCCTCTTGTGAGCATAGCTGCAGTACTTTGTAGAACTGTATGGAGTTACTAGTCCAAAGAACGAACAAACTGAAAGTCCCAGCCAGACTCTCAACTTCATGTAGATCATCAGGCTCTCAAATTGAAGTCAATGACACTGAGCTGTCATAAAACTGGTGCAAGACAAGAATCAGTTCAAAATTTCCCAAGAAAAGAAAGCATTATACCTTTTGCTAACTAATTATAGAGAGCTAAAGAACAGTAGGAAGTTGCATAGTTCTTCAACCACTCGGACAAATGGATGTTTTTATGTCTTAAAAATAAAGGCAAAGGAACTTGTATTTTATTCAGGAACAGGAAGAAAACAGATCAGAATGTAGAGCAAGGGAACCACAGTGTGCCAAGTAGACCACAGCACCACTTCACCTGTAGCCTTCTACAAACAGCAGCTATTGACCACTTGCCAGCCTGAAATCACCTATGTATTTTTTTCCTTTCATTGTTGATGTAGAATAATAGGAGCAACAGGTGAGCCTAGTACAGAACAGGAATTATTGAGCCCCCTGAGCCCATCCATAGGGCTAAGAAAGATAAGAGCTAGAGCAAAAGACTGTTTCTGAGACAGAGAAGAAACACCCAAAGACAGTTAAAACATAGTTTTAGGCCATGGACAGGCATCCATTTCTAGCGTCAAAGAATTTCTGTGAAATTTTAGCTCCAGTAATTTTTGTGAAATTCTTAGCGTTAGAAAAATAGTGCAGGAGTTGGAATTACACAGGTGAGCTCTCCAGCCCGGAAGCTGTAGAGGGCTGCTTCTTGGGTCATCCCTGCCCTGGGGAACCCACTGTTTGATAGCTTGCTCTCTCCCCTGGCAGGGAGGGTGGCAGGCTGTCAATAGGCAGTTGGTAGCTGCTGAAAAGCAGCAGTTGCTACAGACAGACGCAGGACTATGTGGTTCCAGTCACAGGAGAATAGCCCCCACTCGGTGCACTTCGCCAGGTCCCCATGAAGGGACGCACAGGGCAGGAGGCAGAGGCAGCGCAACTGGAGCCATCCCCAGCAGGATGGATCCACATGTGGGAAATGCCCCCTGTCTGTGCACAGACTGATTCCTGGATCTAGGCAAGGGTGGGAGGTGCATGCATGGGGCTTGAGCCCCAGTTTCCAGCCTGAGGGAATGTCTTTCCAGGGTGATCCGGGTCTATTCAGTGGCTGAGGGGCATTGGCCCCACAACAGGGTCTGCACAGCACTTCCTGTTAGGTTGCCTTTGGGCAGGCTTCAGGAATCCAGTGCTCTCCCTTTCCTTTAGAGAGAGGGAGGGAGAGCAGAGGATTGTGGGATACTGGGTGTCCTCAACACCCAGGAGATGTGTACATCTGTTCAAGTTAGTGCAGGAAGAGAGAGATCTTCCTGGTTGAAAGAGGGAGAATTTTCTTGCTGATGAGCCAGTTTTCTTCTGCAAGAAAGCCCTTGAACAGCGGCATACTCCTTCTTCGTACAGGGAGAAAAGCTTTTTTTCCAGCACAAATGTGACACCTGTCCATGACCTTAGTCTGTAATACCAAAATAGTCCTAATATTTGGGGGAGAGATGTCACAGGACAAGTTTGTATCTGTGAACTATGGCGTTATGCTGGTGAAAAGGCATACGTGGCTTCAGGAATCATGCAGGGTTAGTTGACTGGAAGACAGAAAGAGAAAATAAACGTGATAACTACCGCAGCATAGTCTGTTTGGGTTTTAGAAACAGACTTGAGATATATCGAAGATGGCAATATTTTCCTTTAGATTCACAAGCAGGAGGCAAGTTAGATTCTATTTAAAATAAAGATGCTTTTTGTGTGTGATTATATATGCAGACAGACATTTTTTAATCCTGTCCATTTCTCTCATTCATATATAGGAGAATTATGAAAAAAGTTACCATGGAGCCCTCAGAAAGATTGGCTAATCTCCAGGCACTATGGGACAGCCAGACTGTGGCAGAACTGGGCCCTTGTGGTGAGCATGAATTTTAAGGCTGAGGTATAAAAAGGTTAGAATCACAGTTTGTCAGGAAGTTTAATTCTATTTCTGGCAGAACCCTGTAAAGATGTAATTAGTTTTAAGGTGTAATTTGCAGAGCATGGACTTCTGATTGGTGGATGAAGATACTATTTTTAAGCTTCATTGCAACCTGTCTCATATCACAGACGGTGTAGTGTAGTGTTGGTCTGTGTCGGTTTCTGCCTGCAGTATAATGGATACATTCCTGAAGGAAAGAGAGGGTGAGTTTTGAAGCGCTTTAAGATTTTTTTGTGGTTATTTGCTATAGTGTAAAATGTTTTTTTTATTTTGCTCCTAGGGGGCTTTTCACAAATGTACGCATGTGTTTGTGACTGGCTTGGATTTCCTTATAGAGAAGAGGTACAGTGGGTAAGTACATATCTCATGCTGAGGGCTGTTTTAACTAAGTATACAAAGAATGGCAGAAGGCAGGTCAGGATGGGTCCACAGAGACTGACTGCTTCAGTGGGGCCTGAGCTGTCATTGGCGACAGCCTTCTTCATCAGATGCTATGCATGGGTGTGCAGAAAGCAGAGTTGCTAAATGAACTTGCTTTCTGCACGTTCATTCACAGCATCTGACAGAGTAGGCTGTCACTTGTGAAAGCTCATAGCAATTATCTTTCTGAACTAGTTAGTCTCCTAGGTGCCCCCTGATCTACCCTCTGCCTGACTTCAGGCTAACATAGCTACCTCTCTATACAAAGAGTTAAGAGAGCAAACCACAAAACCAGCAGAAACAGTTTTCTAATAAAATGTGGTTTTGTGCATTTTTAACAGGATGTGGATACAATTTATCTGACGCAAGATACAAGGGAGTTGAATTTGCAAGACTTCAGCCATCTCGACCACAGGTATACGATACTCAATAAGGCTTATCATAACCTGAACATAATCATTTTTTCACTACATCTTACCCAGTTCTCATAGAAGCAATGCAGAAAATGCTGACAGGCTTAAGAACTGTCAGTTGGGTTTGTCTGCTTGATGGAATGACAGTAGCCCTTAATTTTAGCTTCTGCCATAAATTTGTACTCCCTCATCGGCATAGAAGCCATGCAGCGTACACTTTGTGTGTTTAGGAGCTTATGTGTTATATCTATTTACTGTAGATAGTGCAGAGATAGTGGAGATTGTTTGAGTTCACCTTTTCTTAAATTTTTGCATTTATAAAATTAGCTGACTGATGCTTCTCACTCTGGGGTACCACAGCTTGCAGGTTCCTCTTTGCTGAATCCAGCTACATCTGGTAAATAATGTAAAGAAATGTTGTTGCCTTGGCTCCTGCAGAGTCCCCTTTCCCTTGCATACAGTGGGGAAAATTACTTTTTCCAATAATCTGTAAAAAGACTGGGAGTTACCGGTTCTGGTACCACAGAAACTTTCTAAACCAAAGATACTATCAAGTGAGACACCAGGGTTCTTAACCTGACTCATTACCTTAGTGCTAATTGCCTGATGTGGAGGCAATTTCCTGTACACATATATGATCTGTCCTTTAGTAACAGAACTTGTCTTCCAGGTGTGAGGTGAAGTAGTCCTGACTTATCTATCTAACAGCATTCAAATACTCCTTCATAGTTGAGTCCAAAATTGAAAAGGCTATCAAGCAAGAAATAAATCTTTGTGTATTGTTATCATGATCATGCTGATGTGTTTGGAAACAAGTTCACCAAGAGGTTTTTTGTATACATAGAATAACATGGAAGAAAAGCTTAATCCTTGAGGCATGTCACTTTTTAATATCTCAGCATGAGCATAAAAACAGTCTTGTGTATTAGCTTTGCATTAGTGTACAACATTCTTTTGTTGCAAAATGCTGTTCTTATTGTTGCCTTCGTGATAGCTGTATATTTCAGAATGCGGAAAACTGCAATTCTGAAAAGACATATAGTCTGGTCACTGTTTATCTGAAAAAGTTATTAGGATCACAAGCACATCTAACTTTCTCTCTCCCTCTGTGTTTAATAACCACCCCTAAACTGATTGAATATAAAACTAATAAACCAGAGGAAATGAAGAAAAGACAAGCTGCCAAGTGCTATTAATGTCTATTTGGAAGCATATGCCGTGCAGATAGGCGTCTACCAGCCCATAATGCTGATTGGAAACCTTGGGGATGAGCAAACTAAAAAGTTAACATTAATAAATTATGTGCATTGATAATTTTGATTCAATTTGCACTACAGCTACTTGCATGTGGAATCATACATATACTTATGTCTTAGTTTCCATTGTACAAGGCAGGGGTTTATAGAGTGCCTGTTGTGTGCATGTGTCTGTATGTATTTAAGTATGAGGCAAGGAATTATCTTACTACTGCATCATGCTACCTTGCATACTAAATAGTGTGATAATGTGTTTCTGCTGTGCCATAGCATGTTTATCAGCATTAATAGTGAAGACTGTAACAAAAAGGGAGCAAATTATATAAGGAGTTTGGAAATAAATGGAAAGGGAATCATTTAACATTTTATTTGTGAGTTCCCTTTTACAATTAAGAGAGGGCTTGTGCTGAAAAGTATATTATCCTTTTGCAGGTCTCCTGTTTCTTGCGGGGGATATAACTCCAGGGAAGAAACAGGGATATGTTGACTGGAATCAGTCTGTCAAAGATATATATTAAATCATGCAAAAAAGCTTTGTAGCATCATGCTAGTAATTAAGAAGCTTAAATATGTCACAGGCTGAAGAAAAGTAGTGGGGAGACTAGGGAGATACCAACTCAAAAAAAAAATCTGAATTAAATATTCATATTTGAATGGATGTTGTTTAACCAGTCAAAAATTCATATGAAAATGAAGTCAATTCACACAAAATCTAGTTTATTTCCTAGATTTTTGTTATATTTAGAATGCAGTGGCTTTTAAACCCATATTGTTTGGCTGTTATGGTAAAGGCAAATTAAATTAGGTATAAAATAATATTTAAGGGGTCATTTGACTGAACAGCTGTATGACAAGTGTGTAAAAATGTTTTTCTTTTTCTAGAGACTTAATACCTATAGTTGCTGCCCTGGAATACAATCAATGGTTTACAAAACTGTCCTCCAAGGATCTGAAATTGGTAAGTAATACTCTGAAGGTACTCCAAATCTTAGAGACCTTTTCTGTATTTTACACTGTATGGGTACAGTTATCAGCAATGGAAAGCTGAGAGGACTACCGAAAAAAAACTTCTATGCATCATCTGGCCATGAATGCACCAGAGAAGTATCTTATCATTTAGTGTTAGACATTTCAAGCAGTAATATAAGACCAAACAGGAAATTGGTTTAACAGAACCTGGAAACAGTTATTTGATTAGCAGGTGGGGACATATTTGCATTATATTTTCATTTCTAAGAAAGCAGGCTTTTCTGTCAATCTTCATGATTACCTGAAGCGGAAAAAACCTTTTGGGTTCCTGGGGCTAAGACGGTCAAAAGACGATAGTAAAAAGTGAATTGTCCCGATTGCAGATAATGTTTTTGAAACCTGCTTTTATATCTAGGATCAGACCCTATCTATCCCAAAACAATTAAAAGGGGCAGAATCCCTTTAGAAGTGAATTGATGTAACTTTATGTATAACAATCTTGCTTGTGAAATCCCTCAATTGTTGCATTCCAGGAACACAAAACAGTGGTCTATAAAAAGCTGTGGGACCAGGAAATAACTGCATGGGGCTAGTCTGAGAAGTTTAGTCAGTACTTGAGAGAGTCAGATTATGCACTTCAATTTGTTTTTTGCTGAAAAATCCGTTCTTGACATGATGAAAATATTTCCCTTTTCTCCACTTTTTTGGAAGTAAAATAATTTCTCTTGTACATAGCAATAAAACAGTAACTCAAAGCCCCAGCAGCAGAAATCTCTTTACCTAAAGATCGAAATATTTGGAGTATTTCAGTTGCCCCATGTCCCCATTTTCTTCTGTGGGCCAGGCTGATCATTTTCATCCAGAGGTGAGACTGGTGTGTAATCAGAGATGTAGTTTAACCAAGCTACTTGTCAAAAGTAGAACAGGGGAACCTGAGGTACTTCAAGTCTAACTTCCAAGAGGCACTGTAACAAGACTTCCAAATCAAATTCTTCTTTTTTCACAAAATATTTTGGTATTTGAATTTCTGGCCAAGGTCAATTTTTTCTATGGAAAACAGATTAAAAATTATTCTTTGCTGCTTTGCTTTGATAAAAATTTCCATGAAGGCAAGGAATAGCCATATTTCAACCAATTTTCTCAGTACCATTGCTCCTAATTCTCTTACAATGGTATAAGCTCTTTTATTTCATGATGACTAAGTTAACTACAGTGATCTAAAATATTTTTTGACAAGGAAATCACAAAACAAGGCAGAATTTGTTTGGTTCCCGTACCAAAGTGGCTGACTGCTTCAAGTGTGCCTTATCTACCTAGAGGAAAGACACACAGGAGTCTTTTCCCTATAAGGAAGGGGAATGGAGCACTGACCGACCTTGAATGTTTTCCTGTTCCACATATTTAGGGTTTACTATCAGGAATTGGACTCTTGTAAGGAAGACTCTTGTGGAAAGTGGTAAAGGCAGAAAATCTACTTGATATTCATCCTCTGAAGATCTGGGAATGACCCAGTAGGTATAGAGAAACAACACATTTCCTCCATGGTAATTTCATTTTGCTCTGGGGCAAACATAGAGCACATACCTGCTGTAGAGTCTTACACTGTTGTAAGTCAAACCACTGCCGTGTAAAGTTAATCCTTAGAAAGTGAAGAGTCCTACTTTTGTAGTTCCTACCATCTGTGATAGATAGCAGCAATATTTTTTTCACCAACAGCTTAACCTCCCCCTTTATAATCATTCTCTTATGGCAACAATGATTGTGTTTTGTACTACTGAACGATGAAGTGCAGAGACAGTGCCAGTGGTGAAAGGGAAATGACAGTCTTTAAAATATGAGTACAGGTGACATTATATAAAAACAATTTTTTTCTTTTCCATGTTGCAGGATTTTTTAATTATCTGAAACTTATACTAAAAAAACTTAAAAGACCTGAACATTTAGCCTTGTATATTGATTGGACAGTGGAGTCTGACAGTATATAGGAACATAGACTCTCAGGACCTTGTATGAATATCAATGAGCCATTTTTAATGGGGAAAGATTTACTGGCCTGAACTACATCATTTTAGCAGCTATAATCACTAACAAAGTTCAGTCTTGAGCTTCTAATGGATCCTGTGTGATATGTTTTGGAGGAAGATGGTAAAATTCCAAAGTGAAGTAAAATAAAAGATGGAGAGTTACTGTGATTTGTTTTATAGCTTTTGGATTACAGTTAACATCCCTTCCTCCCCTTGCCTCCACCTCTCCCCCCCTCAAAAAAAAAAAACCAAACCAAACAAACAAAACCCACTAGCCAATTAACACCGCAAAAGCAGTGCTATCTTCCTGTCACATTCTGGATAGTCATGGTTCCCATGACTGCTTATGCAAATGACAGAACATGACTATTAGGCCTGTGCTTAACAGCACCATTTTGTTTCACATTCAGTTTTGATAGTTCAATGGAACAGCATTCTGTTTCGAATTTCATTTAGATTCAAAACAACTGTTCCATTCTGTCAAAACTGAAAAGCTGTATCAATGCTGTTTTGACTTTCGCTGGGGGTGGGAAGTGAGCCCAGCTGGGTTGACTTCCCATCCCTGGAGCTAGATTGGGCATGGGGGCAGAGAGTCAGCCCAGCTGGGCTCATTTCCACCCACTGTGCAGCTGGGCTGATTCTCCACCCCCCACCCAATTGCAGCACAGAGGGTGGAAACGAGCCCTGCTAGGCTGACTCTCTGCCCCCACGCCCAATCACAGCACGAGGGGTGGAAGTGAGCCCAGCTAGGATGAGACTCCACCCCCCCCACCCCCGGGGCCGGATCGCAATGCTAGGGAGGGGAACTGAGCCGGGCTGAGTTCCCTTCCTCTGCGCTGTTATCGGCTTCTGGCAGCGGGAGACAGGGAGAGCCAAGGCTGCGCTCCCTGCTGGTGCCCTGGTTCTCCCCTGTCTCTTGATGCTGGGTTCGAAACTTGAAATGTTTCAAAACTTTTGAAACATTTCCACTAGCCTCGTTTTGTTTTGAGGTTGTTTCAAAGCCCCTCATTTCAATTCAGTTTCACTATTTTGACCTCTAAATTAGTCGAAACAGTGTCAGATCGAAACAGACGGTGAAATTTTGCACAGCTCTAATGACTATCATGGACGTGATTGGGCATGCAGCAGTTCTGCATGGAGCTAGGAGAATCTGAAATAAAATTGCAGGGGGTGGGGGTGGAGGAGGTACTGTATTTCCTGCCCATAAAGCTCTTTCCTCGAGAGTGTGCAAACAGCATCTGTTCCTTGGGCACCTGTGCATTGTTGTGCTTTATTGTCTGCATTTTGGTGTTCCTACTTTGTCTAACGGGTCTTTCTAGTTGAATCGTTTTTTTTTCACTGTCAATAATCCCTTTTAATTCAGGGATTACCATGGATGCAGAAAAATGTTCTGACCAAGCAGTTTTTATATTTATGGGTCCCCTGTCACGATAATAAACAATTAGGTCCTTGTTTGCTGGTCCACTCCTTGAATGACTCTTGTTAGTTTGCCTCTTGGTTAGAACATTCCCCAGATTCACTATTTTGGTCTGAATCCCTTCTTCAAAGGTTTCTAGGATATACCTGAAGCTATGATTATTACTGTTTGTTACTCATATCATGGTAGTAACATGGAACCCCAGTCATGGACATGGACTTGTGCTTAGCTAACACCTATTTATTTCCTGTATTTCTGAAGATGTTATTTTGTTTGCTTAATCTAATGTTAATATTTCTTCTCCATGACAGTCCACCGATGTCTGTGAGCAGATCCTAAGAGTAGTCAGTAGGTCCAATCGATTGGAAGAACTGGTATTAGAGAATGCTGGGCTAAGAACGTAAGTAATGTTTCTTTAAATGTTGTGTTATTATTTATTCATAGCTTCCTAGATATAAGTTACATGTTAGACCTAACAAAATAGTGAATACAGAAATGACAATCCTGAAATATTATTCTATCTATGTAATATTATTCTGGGTACGAGATACAGCCTGTTGAAATAGAATGAATATATCTAAACAGCCAAACTACAAAAATGTACTTTCCTCCACTAGTAATAGTAACATTGTAAAAAGCAGACAGATGCTTAAAATCTAAGCTATTTACTGTACTCTATTTTTTTAAAATATATAAAGAAATTAACTATACAGTTTAGTGTGTATATGCTACAGAATTATTTTAGTATCTAGGCTGGTAATTAATAGTTGTTCAGACAGTTTGTTTTTCTCTTACAAAATGGGGGCAAAGAAACCCCCCTCTTACATTACGTGGTCAGTATTTGAGTAGTATGTAGATGTAGATGCCCCGAGAAAGACCACATTCCCCATTGCCTATGTATAGTACACCATGAAGCAAGACAGTTCATTGTCCCAGTGAATTTGCAATCTAAGCAAGCAAGCCAGCCCAAAAGCAGAGGGAGGAGGTGTTATTTTCACTTTAATATTAAGGACTCAAGCTGAAAGAGATGGAGGAGTGTGTTTTTAGAACTATCTATACATTTAACTTACATTTGTTTTAATGGGAGTTAGACACCTTGATACTTCTAAAAGTATGGCCCAAGTGACTTTCCTGAGGTCAATCAGGAGGTCTGTTGGAAAGTCTGGTCCCCTGTGCAGTATCCTTAATAAGAAGCATTCAGAGTATAAGTGATTGACTATCCTTAAATTTTTCATCTCATGTCATTATTCACAGCATTAATAATGAGGGAATATTATAAGAGATATTGACTTCCATTGCACATTGCTTGCTTGCTAACTTGGTATAGCTGGAGTTGGTTTTGATTCTAATAGGACTTGACTGATAATCATCCTGAGACATTTGATTTTGTGGCACTATATATATTCCAAGTGTTTGGCAATTTGTCTTTGTGTGTCTCTGGTCTGATCAGCATTAACTGTCTGTTCCTGTTAAGGGTGTATATTATATCAGTTCTGCAGGTTATAATGCCCATGTGCTGGGAGGAAAAAGAATTCATCCTGTTGATGCTAGCCATTTCACTTAGCTTCAGCTACAGAAAGAGCATTTTTAATGAGCTTAGATCAATTACCATGGTTGGAGTTAAGAAGAGTTACTAAGAACTAAATGTTTAAAGGTTAAGTCCCACTGTGCACTCAGTTCATTTCTTCCAGCTTTTCAAATATTGAAGTCCTGAGTTTGTTTGTATTTTATAGTGCACTTCATGATCACCATGATCATAATGTGAGGCTGCCGAAGTCAGGGCTCCATTTATACTGTCAGGGGAGGATTCTCTTATGTGTTGCCCTGGCACACTTGCTGATCACTCCTGCTGTGCTTTGCAGGCAGGCAGGAAGACAGGATTCACCCCAAGGAAATTCTTGTCAGTTGGCAGAGCAATGTTAATACCTGGTGTTTAGCTCTATTGTCACTAGGGTTTGGTTACAGGACATAGGAATTTTCTATTAATATATAGTGAACAGGTTGCCCATTAGGGCCGTGTGAAGCTTCAGTTGCTGATTCAATTCAGAGGTGATTCGCCCAATTCAGTAGCCAAAAATCCGAATCAAATCGGGAGACCAATTAAAACATCCAAATGGCCTCTGGGGGCTCGTGGCAGAGCCCCCGCCATGCAGCGCGGGGAAGTGGGAGGCAGCGGGGATTGCAGGGCTTTTTTTGAAGTGCCAGAATGCTGGGGCTGGGTGGGGCAGCCATTTATGGGGCTTGGAGAGCGGGCGGGGGATGGGGCCTGTTCATTTCAGAGATTCAGCTGATTCAGTGGTGGTCAAATCTCTAAATCAGATTCAGCCAAATCAATTCAGGACAGTGATTCAAATCACTGAATTGAATCACTGTCCCCTGAATCGGCTGAATCCAAATCCAAAGCGAATACTAGCCGCTTCGCACAGGCCTATTGCCCATGCAGTAACAGTATGTCTGTACTGCTTCTGGGCTGTGCAGGAGAGTGCAGCAGAGGAGCACACATTTTCCACTCCCCTACCATGTGCACCAGCACCTGGAAATGAAGCAACGTAGCCTCCTTAGGGCATTGTTGCCACAGCACTGCACTTATAGGCTGGGGCAGACATTGTACATAAATCATTTTAAATGACCAGAAACCTTTTAAACCTGTAACAGAACCAAAATTCAGTGCACTTAAACCACTTTCAAAATGGCTGAAACTGGTTTAAGATAGACCTCATTGGATTTAGTATCAGACTTAACTGATTTAGATCAAACTGGTTTATGAAACTTCTGTCCCAGGCCCACTCCTGGTTCAAGTTAACTCACAGTCCCCCAGCATCCCAGGATGCTTTGCAGCCCTAGGCTGTGCTGTCTGCTCCAGCAGAGCAGGGCTGGCTCTGCCCCTCTGCCCCCTAACCAGAGCAATATCACTGGTCCAGTTGGCTGAGAATGGGGAGGGGAAACCCGGCACTGGACACCAGCCAGGGTTTGCCTGGCAAGGGGAGGCAATCCTTCCCAGGCTTTTCCCCCTCTTGAGCAGAGAGTAGCGGGGAAAACCCACAGAGGGCTTCCCTCCCTTCCTTTTGGCAGTGGCCAGCAGACTGGAAGGCATGCTCTAGCAACCCCCAGCTTCTGGCATGAGTCACTGCAGACATGTGGGTTCATTTCTGGAATCAAAAGTGAATGTTTGTTCACTTGTTTATTGGTTCAATCTGTGCAGTTTAGATTAATCTGCAAAGATTGAATTGATTCAGCCTCAGACTTTTTGACTGTCTGAACACAACTCATGTCTGTACACAACTCAGAGGTGGCTTTGCCTCACCTTGGGATTTAGCACAAAAGTGTCTGTAGGGTAGCATAGAGATACCCGAGCTACCTTTAAACCAAATAGCTTGGTTAGCAGTAGCAGTCTAGACGCAGATTATCGAGCAGACTAATTTACCTCACTTCTTGAGTGGCTCTGGCACCCTATGCTGAACTCTTAGACACTAAAGCGAGACTCCTAGCACTGTACAATAGGGCTGTGCGAAACACCAATGTTTCGTTTCTACGTCCGTTTTGCCATTTCGAAGAGACAGTGTTTCATTTTGTTTTGAAGCACTGTCCTGTTTTGTTTCATCAAAACTCTTTCACCGTTTCAATGAGTTTTGACGTTTCTCCCATAGGCTATAATAGCGAATTATGAAAATGCCTAAAACTTTGTCATTTCTTGCCTGATTTGGATGAAAAACAGCAGCACACTGTAGCAGAGGCTGTGCTGATACCTGGTGGCTGGGGCCAAGCCACACTGCCCTCTTCTGTGCAGGGGGGCTGTCACAAGGCCAAGAGCATGACTGCAGCTGCTGGTAAGCTGGGGGGGTGGGCCTGCGGAGCCGGGCAGGGGCCATGCAGGGGGGCTGGAGCCAGGTGCAAGTGAAGCAGGGAGGTGAGCAAGGGGTGCTGGTTCCTGGTGGGAGAGGCAGCCTGAGCCTCCTCTAATCTGGGGTGCAGATCCAGGGGCTCGCACCCCCAGGACAGCTGCGGGGTTTTGCTGGACTGCTCCTGGGGGTGCCGGATGACAGGAAGCTGCTGCTGCTGCCTGGGACTGGCGCTGGGAGCAGCCCGTGTCTAGCACCAGGAAGGTTGGTGCTGCCGCTGGCCCGAGGCGGCGGTAGCAGTAGCAGCAGCCTCCTGTCATCCAGCATGCAGGTCTGGAGGCCTGCGCCCCCCAGGAGGAGTCTGGCACAGCCTCACAGCCCTCCTGGGGGTGTGGGCCCCTGGATCTGCACGTGGGATGACAGCATGCTGTCGCTGCCAGCTGGGGCCAGTGGCAGCACCAATCTTCCCTGCACTTGGCACAGGCTACACCCAGTGCTGGTCCCAGCCAGCAGCAGCAACCTCCTGTTATCCGGCCCACGGATTGGGGCCCGCATCCCTGGGAGGAGTCCGGTACAGCCCCGCAGCCCTCCCAGGGGTGCGGGCGGCCCCCAATCTGCGTACCGGATGACAGCAGGCTGCTGCC